ATATTTTTAATTACAAAATTTTCTTTGGTTCAATTTGGTAACATATAATAATTAGGAAAAAAATTATGTTTATTTAAAAACTATGAATAAGAATTCTGCCTAAACGTTGAGATAATAATAACAGTAAAAGGGGATATTATTTATGAATAAAATAATAGTTTCTATTAGGTTTTATCAATAAAATTTATAATTATGTATATTTATTATATATACCATAAATATTTAAAGTAACTATAATAAAGTTTACAAGTACAAATAAGAGAAGAATGCATTTTCGGTCAAAATGGGTCTTAATGTTTAGTAATATTGATAAATGATATTTGAGTTCATAACTATTTGGTAGTTAAATCTAATTTGTCTATAAAACGTTATTTATTTTTTAAATTTTGAAATTTAAATGGCTAGAACTTATTAATTCTCAATGTTGAGTCACGAATCCAATAAACTCTGTTTATGCGTTTCAGATCAGAAAAGATAAATACAATTTTGCAGAAAAAAAGTTAATACTACGGAATTCATTTGCAGAATGGAAATTAATATTATCCGATGGGCGTCGTATATCAAGGGTGTCAGCACATCTTTCATCATTTTCACCACGAGAATATCATTGTTCATCACAGTGCTGGCTTATACACTGTTCGGCTACGAAATAACGGCTGAGAAGATGTTCATGATATCCGCATGTTACAGCTGTTTATGCTTATCCATGGCTATGTTTCTTCCGCAAGGTATGTGATAATTTCAGAAAAAGGCGATAATGTGTGATCCTTTTGTTTTATTTTTCTCTTATGTAATGTTTTACTTTATAGAATTAATGATATTGTTATAACGCTTAGACTGATCTAAGTTATTAAACACACAAGAAATGACTTTTTTTAAGCTAGCACTTTTCGCCGCAAAAAATAACACCATAATTAAATGATAGATATATGCTTCAGTCCTAATATTTCTGTGCTCGAAAAGGTTTAGCAGAAAATCGCAATTGAAAATGAAGATGCTGGCTTAAAGTTAAATTAGCATTCTCTTCATTAAATTATATATAAAATCCAAAAGTTAGTACAGTAAAACTAAATACTTTTTATACCACATCCAGAAGGGTTTTCAAGGGTCAATAATCATATCTGTCGTTAAATATGAGACAAATTATTCTATATTCTTATTTTTATTTATTTATCTATTTTGTCCGACTTAGGGATAAGAGGGGCAGCGGAAATGATTGTAACCGTAAAACGGCTAAAAAAGTTCTTGATGTGTGACGAATTGATATCTTCTAAGATCGAAACGAAGAAGAACAGCAAGGAGAACAACAAAGATGCGAAGAATAACAAGGAGAGCATAAAGGAGAATAATAAAATAAACGCAAAGCATCAGAAGGAGGAAAATGCAAAGGAAGATTTGACTGAACAAAATAAAAAGGACTACACCATCGTAGACCAGCCGAAGTGTGTCGAGTACAGCATTTCAATCAAGAATGGCAGCGCCAAGTGGCAGGGCTATGAACGGGAAAACACCTTGCATAATATAAACATAAATGTGCGTCCTAATGAACTAATTGCTATTGTCGGCCAGGTCGGTGCGGGCAAGAGCAGCCTGATGAACGTCATCTTGAAAGAACTGCGTTTGCACAAAGGTTTTATTCAAGTACGTCGATAATTCGTCTTTAACAGTTATACCCAGTTTTTCATTTTCTGGTTAACTTGTGGTTAAGAGAACTTTCCGACTTACATTATTCCGCAATTTTTTTTACCTCGACAGAAGCCAAGGCCCAATTGATTATTTTATATACTTTTTTTTCACAAATTAACGGCAAAATTGCCTATGCCAGTCAAGAACCATGGTTGTTTGTCGGATCGGTGAGACAGAATATTTTATTTGGATGAAATATGGAGCAGGTTCGATACAATCATGTGATTGAAGTGTGTCAGTTAAAGAGAGATTTCAGTCTGCTGCCTTATGGTGATAAAACAATCATAGGCGAGAGAGGTATCAGTCTCTCCAGTGGCCAGCGGGCAAGGTCCGTTTCAGAGACATCCTAATAAGACAAAATTTGCAAAATTTTTCAAATTTTTTAATCTGTACATAGTTAACAGAGATCCTCTTTTAGAATTAATAAATAATTAAAAATCATATGATTTTTAATCAGTATAGATGAATAGGTCAAACACGAGCATATATTATTTATACTGATTATTATTGTTGTTGCAATTCCGAGCTGTTAATTACATATGATTTTTATTTACTTTCTTCTTAACATTTTATCGTAACATTTAAGTTAACATTATATTTTAATTTGTTGATTATTAATTTATTTGATTTTTTATTTCTTCCGATTATTATAAAAATATTTTCTTTGCTTATTTGATCTTTGAAATAAGCTATTCTCGATGAGATGAATATTAAAAAATGTATGTTTTATTAATGTTTACATTTGATATTACGGAATAAGAATTTTTATTTTTAACATTGAAAAATAAATTTATATGTATACTTTAATTAAATATAATTAATGCGATTTAATTTAACTTTCATTTTAATAAAATTAATTTTTGTTAAAAAAGCACACAAATTTCAATTAATTTTTTTCGAAGTTTTTGTATTGTATATAAAATATAATTAGTTAGAAAAGACACATTAGTTATAATATATATAATAATAATAATAATAATGAAATATTGGTAAATGACAGAATAAACTTAACGAGAGCCGTTTATGCCGATGCTGACATATACCTTATGGACGATCCTTTGAGCGCCGTAGATGCCCATGTGGGCAAGTGTATGTTTGAAAAATGCATCAACAAATATCTAGGAAACAAGACTCGGATTCTTGTGACTCATCAATTGCAATACTTACGCAACGTCGATAGAATTATTGTTTTGAAGAACGGAA